GGAGGAGATTTCGATCTAATTACATTCCAAAGGTATGTGAATACATCTTCTCTAACGCAATTTTATATATATATATATATATATATTGTAAAACTATTAACTTTGGCTAGCAGGTCGGCCCTGACGGTCTGACCCAAGATAAAGAAACCTAGACTCCTAATTGTGGCCAATGGGCGGGCCTGAAACCCAGACCCCATAGCCGCACCAACCACCGCTTTGTGAATTGGGAAAGAGAGAGAGAGAGCTAGGTTTGTGGCTTAGAAAAGATAGGTCAAGTTTTATGTCGCTTAAGAAAGAGAGGTTAAGTTTTATGTAGGTCAGAACGTTATTGTAAAGGGATTGTCTACAAATAAACAATTTATCTTTTGTACATAAAGGTCACAATCATTCTCGTTCATTAGATGTCAAATTGGATAGCTTGGAATGAGTCACAAAGTCAAAAAAATTTATTCTTTTAACTTTGTGTCTATTCAATGACTCTCTTATAGCAACTCATTCTGAAATTTAAGAGATAAGAATGATTGTGACATATATGTACAAAATATAAATGGTCTCTTTGTAGACAATCCGTATGATGAAACATCTATGTAAAGAAATTATATCAATCATATATTTTATATGCCATCTAGTAATGGATAGGGGCTTCAATTATAACTTAAGTCCAAATCTCATCTAACTTACTTTTAAAGTTTTTGGTTCTTTCTAGTAGAGCATAAAGCAATCCACAGTGATGGGCCTGACCTAGACCACCTGGCCATCCTCAGGTCTAGCCCCTGGCTTGGCTTGGGCCAGGCCCTGCCTTATTGTTAGGCCTATTAAGTTGTATCACCTCGGTATTAATATATTCTTAAACCTATTTCAAGAAAATAAGAGAGAAAATGTGAAAGACACAATTGAGACAGTGGGGAACAAAGAATGTGTTTTTGCAATGAAGCCGTCCAGTAATAAATTTTACTTGCTTTTAAATTTGGTTCTGCAGCATTTGCTAGACTTGTTCAAAATTACAATATGGCAACATGCTTCTGTAACTAAATATCTAATTCAATTAAATAGTAACTTTTTATGTGAATTTGGATACTCAATTTATATTTTGTCTATCTGTGCAAATGAATTAAATATCTCTCTCTCATGCACACAAACACACATACCTATTCACTGATTATGCGTCGTTGAAAATGTTTTTACAAGGTTGAGTATATTTCAATTAATTAGTATCTAATACCACGTGCGACGCACATGCATATTACTAATATTCTAAAATGTTACATAATAGTCCCCACCCTTTTTTTTTTTTTTTGGGTAATTCAGTGGAGTCCCCACCCTTTATAACCATGATTTCTGTTTTTTGATCTTTGGTTAACACTATGATCTTATGTACAATTTCCCTTATTTTTGGGAAAATAAATTGTGTACACTTTCCATTGAAAAGCAACTCATAAATAAATTGATTGCCCTTTATGACCATGATTTCTGTTTTTTCAACTACAGGTAATCCTAAGAAAATTATTTGGAACCTTATGTACAAGTTCCACAGAGAAGCAACTCATACATTTTGAGTGAAAGAGAGCTGTATACTACGTTGCAAGCAGAGATGCAATTAATCTTGGATCCATGGAAGATTTATGTGCTGCCACAATTAGATTACTGCAAATTAGCTAGAAATGTTGCATTCCCAATACATAGCCGAAATCCTAATGATTTCATGTCGAAGCAATGGAAATTTCAAACCTCCTCATTGTGGGGGTGGTCATTGGAGCTGTGGTGGCACCAGTATATGACTCTGTGTATGTTTCTTCAGTTGTATATCTGAATTGTTGCATATCCACAGCAGGCAAACCAGCAACCAAATGTGCAAATGGATTTGGTGGTGAAATGATCTCAACCCCTTCTTCTAGCATCCTCACAACACTGCTCATACAAGGCCTAAGCTCTGGTCTATACTGAACACACCAAAGAGCAACCATAATCATTCTCTCTGTCTTTCCCCTGTTTTCTTCCTCAATCACACATTTGATCATCATCTCTTCCAATTCACCTTTCTCAAACTTTTCCCAGACCCATCTGGGGAACCAATGTTGGCTCTCTGAAAGACTTGCCTGCAAATTCCTTCTCCTCCCCACAATCTCGAATAGTAACATCCCGTAACTGTAAACGTCGCACTTTTGGGTTATGGGAAACGGCATCCATAGTTCCGGCGCTGCATAGCCTGGAGTCCCCCGCCCGCCTGTCATGGTAACATGGGTGGCATCTCTATTGCAGAGCTTTGCAAGCCCGAAATCAGCAACTTTTGGTGAGAAGTTGCGGTCGAGCAATATGTTGCCGGGCTTTATATCATAGTGAATTATCATTTGCTGGCATTCTTCATGCAAGTATGCTATGGCCTTCGCCGTTCCCACTGCAATCTCGCGGAGTTTCTCAAACCCAAGCTTTTCTTTGTTTCCGAACAGAAACCCATCCAAGGAGCCCTTTTCCATGTACTCATAGACCAGCGCGCTCATGCATATATCGAAGCAAAAGCCGATGAGCCGGACCAAGTTGACATGGTGGGTTCTTCCTATGGTGCTCACTTCTGCCATGAATTGGGCCTCGATGCATTGGACCGATGTTCCCCTGAGGACTTTTACTGCTACATTAACACCATTAGGGAACGTACCTTTATAGACTGTGCCGAAACCGCCTGCTCCGAGCAAGTGACTGTAGTTTCCAGTGCAAGAGCTAAGTTGTTGGGGGGAGAATCTTATCGGCTTGAGCTTCTCCATGTCTCCGAGGAACTTGTCGATCTTGCCGGGCTTGAACTGCGAGTCCGAAATTGCATTGTTACCGTCTGAACATCTTCTACGGCAGCAACAGTAGAAGACGCATCCAAGTTTGAGGAAGAACACCACTGGAGATGCAAAATTGTGAGTGGTGATCACTTCATATGCTAGGAAAGCATGTCATGATCCAATGGATTAGGAAAATAAATTATAGAATGTCAGGTAATGAGGATCCCTTCGAATGGCTGGGTAGGAGAAAAAAAATGTGAGAATGGGACTACGGAAATACCATAATCCGTAGGCTCAGTCTCTTGATGGATGGTTAAGCAGACGATGTGGAAGAGCGAGATGCATGTCCATGCGGTTCGGTACTTCAATGGATGGTGATGATCTTCCTTGCATCTCCGAGTGGTGCTCAA